GTCTACGGAACTCTATCCAAAGAAACCTTTTTATTCCTATATCACTTTGCACTCTGAAAGATACCAGCCTTCCTCATTTCTTCAAAATCTTTCATGGAATCATAATTTCTGTAGAAATCTGCATACGCCTTCTTTCTTGGTTCAGCCACACCAAACTTATAGAGAGTTGCAACTCCCAGGGAGACAACGAATGCTCCAACAATATGGATCCGCAGATGCCTGGCCAGAAGAACTCGCATCTGTGGTTTCGTCAAAGCACTGGAACTCATGGTTACTGTCCTCAACACCAGCGTCCTTCCCTACTCCCTTTTCTAGGATTTTTAAGACATAGATTCCAGGTCTTAGGAGAAAAATTGTATTTGGTTTATTTTTCTCTTGTATAGATCATTGCCTTGTTGCACTGTATCAGAAATCAATTGTTTTATACTTAAGGGACTCTGTCAGAGTTAAGTAAGAAGAATGGGACTTTGAAATTTCAAAGTTACAGTCCTTGTAGCAAGAGAAATGTCTCTCATCTACTTTTTAACATGATGAATTAGATTTTAGATATATTTTTATCTCATAATTCTCTTTGAATTAAAAGATTAAATAGCTTTAACTATGGTTTTAATTCATATCTTAGCAAAAATTATCTGCATAAGCCACTTAAGTATGCAATCACTGGATCTAAGAAAACTAGGTAATGGGAAAGATTAAGACAGACATGATATTATTTATTAATAGGAAATATTATGCTTTCCATTTATTTGAGATCTGAGGGAAAATCTGCTGAATGAATTTAAGTTTCAAGCAGTGGTAAATTACCTTACTTATTGATGAATGTGGGGCACATGAAACTATCACGCTAGAACTTTTACAATTCCCATGGTGTCTATGTGCTCAAACACTGTTGGGGAAATATAAACTTAAAAAAATTGAACAAAACTATAATGATGTAGATGAATCTCATAAAGCATTATGGACTTCTCAAAACCAGAAAAAATAATTCAGGTGCAGTAATTGGAAAAGTAATTTGAAAATTCATTTTTATTATCAAAAAATTCATGTTATTGGTGCATTTATGTTGATGTAAATTTAGTGTAGTACCTGAGTTAGAACATATTTATGTTCTAGATAACTCAATTATCCAAAGCAGGAGATTTTTCAGTTATAATAGTTCTTAGACTGTGGTGGTAGACAGCACAGTGAGTTTATAAGAAAATGAGTTTGTATACTTACAGTTAGCTTTTGAAAAAATATATTTACATAAAATAAAATTCATTTTTAGAAATTAGTTCAGCAACCTGTCACAACTGCTTAAAATTAAAGAAAAAATCCTATTAAACATATAATTACTTTCTGTAGAAGTGTTTTCTCTAAGAAAAACATCCTATTTTTGATGGGTTTGTGTGATTTTACTGTCAAATTTTATTTTTAAAGTTTAATACTTTTACAGTTTTTACATCAAACTGAAGTTTGTTTTTATTTGTAGGAATTCTCTAGAAAAATGTGTGATTTAGGAGGAATGATCTAATTACTTTTTAACTACTTCTATATTGAAATTAAGTTTTACCTTTGTGTCATTCCTGTTGGAAGTTTGTTCTATGGTAATCTGTTAATTGTCCCTAAGGAGTCACAGTTTCAGGTATTCATCTTCTTGTGTCTTCGATTCCCCTTGAACTTGATCTGGGTTTATCATCTTTAACCACAAAAATATCATTGACAGGACATTCTACCAATCCTAGAATTAGCCTTACACATGGCTGACAGCTTCCTATATACTTGGGATCCTTAGGTCTCCATATGGAAAGATGTTCCTCCTTGCTAGAATGACTAATTGATTAGAGAAAAACTAGATATACAGGAGAAAAGGAGAAGCACAATTGTCCCAGCATCTTAACTGAATCCAGTCGTTGGTGGACTCACCACTTCCAAGTACCCATACAAGTCTCCACCAGTTAGAACAACAGAACTACCCACCTGAATCCTGATTGTCCAATCTTGAGAATAAGAATAACTGTTCAGATCTAGTAGATCTGGGAATTGTTTTTAAAGCAGCAATAGACACACCAATTTAGATTTAGCACAAACACTGTGTTAATGTGTAAATGATCTGTCTTTAAAGAAAGAAATCTGCCCTTATTTCCAAGAGATCCTGGTGGAACACAACGTTCCTCTGTGCCATCTGCTATTGCTTGAGCCATTAGAACCCATTGAAAAAACTGTTCTTGGTTTGAGTAGTTATGGCAGATCTAGTATTTCCCAGGGACTCTTAGATTTTCCACATACCACTCTACATATTCTTAGAGTGATGAGACCCACTGTTTCTAACTAAGGATCAGCATTTTATACTAAATGTAGTCTTGGGTCAAAAAAAAGTGCTGTTAAAACTTTATACATCAAATTTGTTCTGAAAATTCATGTTACTTTTCTCTTGGTGGCTTCCCCAGATGGACGATATTAAATAAAATCTACTTTGTTCACTTTAGACATAAGCATGCTTAATTAAACCAGAATAAGACTCACATAAGGATTTTTTGGAATATGAGTTTTCTCCCCTATTGAAATTACACAGTGTAATGAAGGAAAACAGCACAACTTGAAATCATCTAAATTTGTAGTAAACAGGATGTTTCACTTTACAATTGCCTGGGTAGTGATGACAATGAAAGCACTTAGCCCAAAGAAAATAGCAAAATGTCAGTCACAGATGTAATCTGTTTACTTAAAGTGTGTGTGTGTGTGTGTGTGTCTGTCTGTCTGTTTAAAGAGGATGCAGTGAAAATTACTTTAAGTGTGTCGCTTTTCTTCAGAAACTTCTGAACAGTAAGGAAAGGAAGATGATTTTTTGCAATAATATTTTAAAGTTATATAAAATACAATAAAATCTGAAGAATTTTTGTAACTTTTCAAAAAGAAGTTGAGGTGAAAAGTAGCACATGGAAAAAACAAACAAATAAATAGATATTTTTAAAAGATTTTCTTCAGGGCAATTTTCAGATTTGTTTTATGGAATGAAACATATACATTAGGCTAAGACTTACTAAACGCCTGTACTGTAAATTATATCTTGATTCAAAATAGATAAAATATCACTATTTTAAAAATTAAGTTTAAAATAAATATAAAACTCTAAAAACGTGTTCAGTTGCCCACTGCTCCAAATGCTATAACAAGCTACCATAGACTGAGTGGCTTAAGTGGCATTTATTGCTCACAGTTGTGGAGATTAGAAGTCCAAATTGAAGATGCAGACAGATTCAGTTCTTGTTGAGGGCTTTCTTCCTAGTTTGCAGACAGTTATTTTCTTATATCCACACAGGCGAGGGCGGTGGGAGAAGCAAGGTTTTCTATGTCATGAATACCATTGTGAGAGCTCCACCTTCCTAACCCAGTTATCTCCCACAGGCTCTGTCTTTAAATATCATCACCTTGGGAATGAGGGGGAAATAGATTTGTGGAGATATAAATGTGCAGACCCTAATATTTATGTAAAGATTATTCATTATGATACTTCGGGCAAAAGCATGCGCTTAATATTTTGACCATTTATTTGTCTGATCCTTATATTTATAGTAATAATTTCCAAAGGGATGGTTGATAATAATACACCTGCATGATTTCACAGTAGGAAAATATGAAATACATGCATAGATGACTCCTACTCTTGGCAAAATCACCTGTGGAGTGGTAGCTCAAGTCAGATCTCTTACTTGAAATAATTTGCGCTTTCTTTTAAAAGCTATGTTTAAATAAATGGTTAATTTTTTTTATTCAATTCATTTATTGGTACATTGTAGGTATACAACACAATTACATTTCTCATTGGGAATTGTACCTTTACATAATGCATCTTGGTTCTTATTTTTTCCCC